CAGTCATTCTCATGATTACGTCTCATTGGTGAAAGACAGATTGCTCGCCACATTCCATTTCGTTTAAGCGGTGCATCTCCTCAAGTCTGTCCCATGTTGTATCCTAAGAAGTCGCAGATCTTAGTATGTAGTCGAAATTTGTCCCATGACTGTCCAGCTTAGAGGGTTCTGGTGTGTGTATGTCTTAGCTTCTCCGATATAGCCACTTTTTTCAGGGTGGGCATAATTGATTACCGTTGCGGCATGAAACTTATAAGGGAACTCATATCTTGGATATTTCCATGACTGTCCAGCTTAGAGGGTTCTGGTGTGTGTATGTCTTAGTTTCTCGGATATAGCCAACTTTTTAGAGTAAGCCCGACTGATGAGTATTGCGGTCAGAATCTTATACAGGAACTCATATCTTGGATATCGGAACGCTAAATCGAAGCCTAAGGAGACATTGAATTTCGTAACTGCAGTGCGTCAACCCGAAGGAATGTTCCCCCAAAGTAGTTACGCTAACTGAGCGGCAAACATCTTCATATCGAGAAAGAAATTGTAGACATCTATTTTTTGTCTAAGAACATCTGATGCGTAACCCATTATTATCTAAATGTAACATATTACTCAAGAGGTTGCTGAAAACTCTTCGACAGCCAATGACCGGTTTCACCCTCCTTGAGGCTCATCAGGTAAGCGCAGCCTCCAAGTCTCCGTCAACCTTATGTTCTACTTGAACCCGAATCGGACTGGCTTCGACAAATACCCTCATTTTCAAATCCATTTGGTTTTCACGGGAGGACTTATATGAATCTCTCGTTTATGATGTTCTTATACNGTGCTGTACGCAGACCGCCTCATGTTCCAATTGGCACGATATTCGAGATATCGCAGTATATTTTCATTAAGGATACTACTCACAAGTTTGCTGAAAATTAGCCGACAGCCCATGACTGATTTCGTTCTTCTTTGGGCTCATCATGTTGACGCAGTCCTACCAAATTGTGATCCGACAATCCGGAACGTTCCCACATTTTCTTGTTGGCGGAATTTTTGATTTGATTTGACCAAATTATCATGTTTAGCCCTCACTGAGTGGTTTCGGACCAAAAACCGACAAATATCACTTACAGCTCAGATTTCGTCCTCTGTGTGAGGCTATTCTATGCTGAAAGACGAGAAGCAATGTACGGCTCCTTTATCCACAGACATACTTCATAAATTGCCAGAGTTTAGATATCCCCGAGTAGCCTCACTGATCCGCTGTTAGTTCGGGTATTAGTGATCGGCCTGTTTGAGCAGCGGAACTGAGACGTCTTCATATGTCCGACAATCGCTGTCTCAGGACCACAGCTTGTGTGGGTTGGTGTCAGTGCATCCGTAACGATGCAATTAGAAACCGAGTTTTCGGCTGTGTAACGGGGACTTCTGCTGAAGAATGTGTCCAGCACCAGAAGCTGCGTTGGTTGGGACGCGTAGCGTATGCCTAGCCATCGTTTGCCGAAGAGCGTGCTGTTTTCCATGCCCAATCCAGAGTGGCGGAGGCAGAGAAGTGACCAACCCTTCAGCTGGCAGAGGGGTGGGAGAGAAATCACGAAAAGTTTGAGTGCTGTCTGTGCCACTCGCTTTCCAGGATGGGGAGTATGTGATCCTCACTGCGCCTGCTTGGAGACGCTGCCAACCGATGTCAGTGGCGATCTTGTGGTCAGTTTCTGTTCAGATTGCCCAAATGAGTGTCTGGAGGTGTAGGCACCTCGGAATGATTGAAGTGTGGCAGCGCTAACTTCTTTTCGCATCCACCTTCCTTCACAATAAGGCTTTTAAATAAATCATGGTTGTACGGCAATGAAGCATCGGTGGTGAAAAGTGCAGAACTCTTCATAGGAGAATCCACTTTCCAGGAAGGTTTAAAAAACGTTCTTCGTCAATCAATACATAGTATACCACATCTCCTCCATCCCTTCCGAAGAGACCAAATCATCTTTTGTGCGTTGTCTGATTTTCCGGGGAATTCAGGAGGCTTAACTGCAGTCAGAGGTGTGGCAACCGACATTCCAAGAAGCTCGAGATGATGAAAAACTCAGCAGTCGGTATATTCTCACCAACGCTAGTGCTCAAATATGAGTAGTATATGAAGATAATAAATGTTGGAGGCTAGTTTTTTAAGCTGAAGCCATTCTGACTACATGATCGTCTCTTCCAGAAGAGACGGTTTCAATTGCTCTCTTCTTCCAGTGGGAAAGTAACCGCTGCGCCCGGCCGTCGACGAGGAACGACTGTCTGCTATGCAGCATGACTTTTCAGTTGGTCGCTTTATGACTTCCATGCTTTCTCCGATCACTGGCCAAACCTTGAGGTCCCGCCTCTCCCCTCCTTAATCCATTTTCAATCCTTCTCTCCACTAGGATTTTCTTCTGAAAGCTGTTACATTGGTTGTTTTTAGTAACTTGGTTTAACACGGACGCGAAGTAATTCAGATCACGACAGTCGACTGTTGAAAAATAACATGGAGTCGCACGCATGCTCGCACGCACAACCAGCCCAGACAAACACTTGCTTCGATTAGAATTTCCCAACACGGTCGGAACACGTGCACAGTCATTTCCGACTTTATACCATAGAGTAACTTCACTCGCAGGATGGACTGCGACTTTGAAAAGAATGTGTGAAAACAGTATTTTCCGGCCAAACCTAGAAATCCTCCAACGTTGAAAGACTGGCATATCAGTCCGTCAAAACGGTGAATGCCTGCACAGAAGTGGAGAGCCACAGACGGTGTGGATAGAGCCGAATGCTCTTTGGTCATGTAATGTACCTCATGCAAGGATACGATAGAGCGGAGAGTTTCACATTCGAACGGATTTCACTCGCACAAGTTTCGCCCACTTAGAAGGCTTACAGAATGGTGCTATCAAGACGCTCCGTGAACCGTAAAGGACAAAGTCAAAATCCCAGATCTAATCGATATCAACTCAAAATAGTTCTATCTAGCTGGTGGATCGTTTAACTCGGGGATGAGGCTAGATGACGGGGTGACTCCAATTGTTCCAGCGTGTGGTCAGTTATATCTTGAGGGAATCATTTACCAGCAACCGGTCCACCAAATCTGAGTGGGAGTACGTGACACTGTAAAACGCTGCAAAGTTGCAACAGCAGACGCGACCAAGGCATATCACTTTACTGGTCAGTCGATATTTTCCGTCACCTCAGCTTTCAAATTATTGATCACCTAGTGAAATCTGCTTCTTGATGTGGGATCAGAACACATTTCCATGTAAGCGGGAAGCCTAAATCCCGCCATGACATACGTGTGACGCATTGAACCATCCTGTCAGTTTGATGTAATCCAGAGACACTTTTTCGTGGAACGCTGGCCGTTCACTGAGTAAATTTCCTTGCGTGTCACTTCGATGGAACAACCGGTTGGAGACATTACTTCCATACTGTACTGAGACAAGTCACGAAACCGACTCTAGTACAAGTTAATGCACTCGGATTTTTCTACCCAAGCGGGAAGCGCGACTCTTGAGGATCTGCATCACGGGGTTTTGGCGTTGTAAGTAGTATAAACAGCGGCAAAATTTTATCTGGAACTAAAACAATCTACCAGTTTACTTGACAACAACAGCCTAATTTTGAATTAACGTATTCATCTTATATGGACTACTTCCATGTGTATGAGAGCCACTCAGCTGCCGAGTGTGTGGATTTTTGGCAGATGATAAGCCGAGACTACAGGAGGACAGGACGTGTTCTCGGTACATTGAACGTGGTATCCGTAATAGTCAGGCGGTGAAATGACTCATTTGCCTGATGTATGCAAAGTGTCACTTAAGTACTTCTTCTAACCTACTCGACAATGACTAAGGGTGGAAGCACACAACGCAGTTGAAGGTATTTCGGGTAATTCGCGTGTCCAATAGTGTATAATAGTGTAAAAAGAAGCGTGCATTTTGCCCTTCGACAAAAAGGAACACACATGTTGACATATGGAAACTCTGTCAGCAATGATTAATAGTTATTGCGATACTTTTGCAAGAGGTCACGCCCCCTCTGGTGTCCATCACACATTGAACAGTTGCTCTATAGAGGAAAATGTCGGTAGCTCAGGTAGTGTAGTTGGTGGTCGTTGGCTTGTTCGCTGAGCTGGGCGATTTGATTGCAAACGTTTCATAACCAATCGAGGTGACATCATCAGTGCGTTATTGGGGAGCGTAGTAGTGCGTAGCGGCGCTGAATAGTTGTCCATCTCGGTCCAAAAGTATCAACGGCGACCACCTTGCCTAGTTTCCACCCACCTCCGCGGGCCCCCCAGCGTGTTTCTTGTTTGCCAGATCGTGAGATATACGAATAAATTCTTCTGAAATCGTTACACTATGTCGTTCGGACCTAGTTTTGAAAAGTTCCTGTCGATTCTGCCTCCGTTTTCAGTAAAAACCTAGTGGGAAAACAGAGGTAGATTTCACTGAACTGTTTTTTGGGAACTAGATGGATGGATGGACGGATAGCACAACTAACCGTTGTGTGTGCAACACAGGTTGGAATTGCGTGTAATTTAAAAATGGCTAGGTCAGTGCAAATTCCACGAAAATATCAAAGAAATTGCAGATTCTGTTAATTAACTACCCTAGGTGGCAAAAAATGTTAGTCAATTATTTTGGTAATTGGGTCAGCTTATTGAATTAGTTAAGTGAAATGACGACAGTCTTACCAGTAAGCATGTTTTCCCCCCTGTCCAAAAATCCGTGTATGTAACTGCCAAAAGGAGTTGTCCTAATAAGACAGTGCCCAACTTAGATAGCTTGGTTTGGATCAGTAAAACAGTTATATTGATTATATCAGTGCAGTATAAATCTCAGGTAAAATTGAACTCTTTGTCTCCGAATAATCTCCTCAAGATGCGTTCCCACGCCTGAGAGAATTTTTAGGTTTCAAAACACCGCACAGCTGTTTATGGGGGGAATCGGATTCAAACCAGTTCGACCTGATCACAGGTTAGTTCTTAGATCAAAGCTGCACTCAATTCCGGCTCAAACCACTTATCAGCGTATCCTGTGAGAGGTCAGAAGAACCTGCTACTCACTGTCAGCTACTCATTGTCAGCTTCCGTGTTCTCATCTCCTAGCCGTGGTATATTTCATGCCACCGAACTTTCTGGGCCATCATCGCTGACAACTGCCCGCCCATCCTTTTTACCGGACGGTTGAATCGTACACGGAACGAATAGCTTCCTGGTAATGCAGAAGTCGGAAATTATGTCTGCGTATACGCTAGCAGACGGATTTTGAGGCTGGTGGGTGAAAATCAGTCAGCGCTCTAGTCCCCGAACAACGTGATCGGGATGATTTTTGAAACCACTGTTAACGCGGAGACGAAATAAAAAGATTTAGGTAGATTTGGTTACTAATCAGCCGAGCGTCACCTCATGTGTCATCTTATCTCGCATCAGATGAATAACTTCAATGATGATCAGAATCAACACGTACTGATCATCGTCATCATCATCACTGATTGGGGAAACCGGATGAAAACACTGGTACTTCACTGCCATACACTCCGGTCATTTGATTTTAATCAGCTAACATTAGGTAGGAGAAAGAAATGGGACAGCAAGGGGTACCGAAGACTAGCCGACCAGAAGCATCTACTTCATCACATCATCATCATCATCATCATCATCATCATCGACAGCATGACATCAGTGTTCACCACCGACGCTTCACGGCCGTACAACCATGATTTATTTGAAAGCCTTATTGTAAAAAAAGAGTAAAGATGGACGGTACTCAATCAGACAGCGTGAATAGAGTCTGCCGCGATAATAATCAGTGTCTCCAGCCAAGCACAGGCAGGGTCACGTGGAAGGCACCCATGCCAAATTCTTTCCATATTTAGATTCTCATCACTCCGAAAGTGGGCGTGGGAATCAGCACTCTTCTTGGATGCCAGTAACTTGAACAGATGAGCCAGCCAACTTCGCTTGGGTGAACTAAAGAGTGATTTCCCGATGTGACGTGCAATATTTTTTTCCTAAACTTGCAGTTCATGGTTGTACGTCGGCTGGGATACCGCCAAGGAGCCCGTGCGTGGAAATCAAATACGTTATGATGGTGAGTTGAAACAAATGTGGACCAAGTCAGGGTAAGTTAGATGGGGATAATATATACGAGGGCTTTACAAAAGGCCTTTTGAAATAACTCAGTTTTAAGTCAACGGTAAGTGAAACGTATCATTCAAGCGCGTTCAAGACGGTCATCTGCGGTCCTAAGCAAGCAGTCATCCCGTTAGGTAAGAACTGGAATGAGAAAGAATTTTTACCTTCTGAGGACTTTTTAAACAAACTAACAGTTTCCGAGAAACATACTCATTTGCAAATCAGTTTGGTTTTTCACGGGAGACTCAATTGAATCTCTCGTTTATGATATTCTAAAACTGAATGTGCTGCACACGGGCCGCCTCATGTTTCAGTTGGCACGATATTCGAGATATCGCAGGATATATTTACATGAAGAAAAGTACTCAAAAGGTTACTAAAAACTCTTCGACAGCCCACGACCGGTTTCGCCCTTCTTGGGGCTCATCAGGTAGGCACAGTCCCCGAGTTT